CCGGTAGGGGACGTGCAGGAGGCAGCTGATCAGTGACTCTCTCATCATTGATGTTTCTCTCCCTCTCCCTCTCACTGAAATCAATAAAAATATATTTTTTTAAAAATTATGTGCAAAATTTTCTTTGTATAAATGAATGCTTCTGCGGAGAGAGAGTCCATAGTTTTAATCATATTGTCATAGAGACCTATGACTTTCAAATGGCTTAAAAACCACTACTTGAAAGCCTTTTTAAAAACAAATTTTTGTTCTTTGCCTCCCTTTTATAAATATCTAGGCGTTCTATCATAGAGTTTTCTGCCTTCGGCCTCTGATTTTTAAAGATTTTTTGTGTTTTAAAAATACAGTTTTTAAAGTAATAAAACCCTTATGACTTATGAGATTGTTGTAGTTTCTGGAATTCTCTGGAAATATTTTTAAATTAATTTATTTTTTATATTTATGTCTTTAATACATCTTGAATTTAATTTGGAAAATGGTACAAGATAGGTTTTAAAATTAATTTTCTTCCAAATATACTTTTGTGTATTTGAAATTTTCTACAACAAAAAGTTAAAATTTGAAGGAATAGCTAGCTGGCCCCTTTAGATGGACTTCTATTACATTTCTAATGATATCAATTCTGATTATGAAGTTTCTAACAGGACTGTTCATAAGGTCAGATCTCTCCTTTAATGAAAGTGTTGTCAGTCTAATTCTTTTGTTCTCAACAACTAGTATCTTGCTATAATAAAGGCATTTATAAAGAACTAAGTCTTTTATTATTTTTGGCATGAATTAATACACTTAATTTTGAGATTGCCGTGTTGGTATCATACTCAAAGCAGAGCCATTTTCCCCATGCTCTCTGACATGGGAGAGAGACATCTTGTCTTTAAAAGTTTATAGGCCCTATGGGCAAAGTTTGAAGCCAAGCTTTCAGGAATTATGTACCTAAATTTCTTCTCTCAAGAGCCCTTTAATTCAGAGAATCGAAGAACAATTTTGACGTTGTGATTTAAAAAGCTCAAGTTTTTTTCTATAATTTTCAAAGAAAATACTGTAATTTCAAAGAAATACAGTTTGTTGCCTAATGAACCTTATTTTGAAATTGATAAGCATTAGTTGGTGTGTACATTTTTCAGGTTCTATTTTTATGAATTAGTACTTTTAAAATATTTTAATATATGGAGTTAATATGGTTTATCGTATCAGACATACCAGTACATTTAGTTTCAGAATTTTGTGTTCTTGACATTACATAAGAATTTTTAAAATTTTTATTTTTTGTCCGAATTATGTATTAAATAGTTGTATTTTGTAATTATTCAAGCACTAAGTTTTGGTATTTTGAAAGCATTTTTTTTTAACTTTTATTAATCTTTCTTTTATGCTGAATTACTCCTGGGCAATAAGTTTTTGTTTCCTCAGTTTCTTCTGAGATATCTTTTTCTTCTGCACAATCTTCTTTTCTGGTTTAGGAGCAACCTCCTCTTTTTCCGTAGGATCATCTCTGTAGCAGGGAGATCGCATGCATGGGTTAACCCGCCCATGAGCTCTGTATGTTCTATGTCACATCTTGGGAGCTTTGTTCGCCTATATGTGCTCAATGACCGGAGAATCTACATCTAAACCCTTAAGTTCAGCATTGCACTCTGCATTTTTAAGCATTTGCAGCAAAAATTTAGCAGTCTTTTTGGTACACCGATCCTGTGTCCAGCCCTACTGCTTGTCCTGGACACACCCACCAACTCCACCATTGTAAGGACTGAATGGCACACATTGCTTCTGTAAAACGACGTCCTTCATATACTTGGTGGCTTTTTGGATATGCATACTGTTGATGGCGTGGGCAGTTTCACAGGTGTTCTTAAAGAGAACACAAAGATCTGAACCTCTTGATTTACATGATTTTGTGGGGGTTTCTGCGTCAAGTGAGTAGCAAACCGTTTTCAGAGGTCACCTCAGGCCGCTTTTGGGAAGAGGAGAGCATAAATTGATGGGCTTACCATTGTGATTGCTTTGAAATTGAACTTTAAAAATCCACAGGTATAAACAGTGCTATATTTTAACATCATTAATAGGTTATTTGCTTTCTTAGGTCTTTCTAGGACTGAAGAGTTCAAATCAACCAGCTCTCCTCTACCATACTATTTTTTCTTTTCTGTACAATTATGTTAGACTCATTTGAAATATTTTAATTTTTGGTAGAGTTGTTATATCATCTCTATTTGTTTTATTTTCATCTATTACATTCAAGAGCCTCTGCATTTCCTGGAAGACTGTATCACTTTTTATTTTCTCAAGCTCTTTCTTGATATTGATTTGTGGTTGATTCATTCTCAATTTCACCATTTTTTAATAAGTGATAGAAGTGAATTTTTCCCCTTCTCTTTGCTTCTTTGAAAATAAATAGGTCATAGTTGCTTCTCTAGGGGATTTTGTCAAGACAGAAGTTTAGAAAGAAGGATGGTGTGTCCTCTGCTTGCATGTTGGTCTCTTAGACTAAGGTCACCTGGCTGACAGCCCTGGTCTCCTAGGAAAGCTTTTCCTCTCCCTACTTTAAAGTCACAGAAATAGGTTTCAATTGATGTTTAGTTCGTTGTTCCTTTTGACGAATCTCTCATGTTGATTTTATAGTGGAAGATTACTGACTTAGGTCTAATAGTCTGTGAGGTCTTTGCAAGGTATGCCAGAAATAATCTAAATGCTAGATTATTGTAATCCTATTTTTAACATGTTTTTTATCATTAATAGAAATTTATACTGATTTAAGGTGTGGGTGGATAATCTCAAATATTGCCTGACTTAATCAACACATGCCCCAATTTCCACATAATGAGTTTGGTGATTATTTTAAGATAAACCAAATTTTAAGTATGGCAGGATCCTTAATTGTGAGCTCCAGCCAGTGCCCATGCAGGCTGCAGTGTTTGCTTCATCCTGGGACACCCCTACTGAGGCACAGAATGATGGCCCAGGTTAGGTTTTGAGGGCTCACAGATGAGTTCCCAAGGGACATTCACAATCCAGGACAGTGTCAGGTGACCTTAACTGCAAGATATCCAACTCAGAAAAAGCAAAAACTTTTTCAGGGCACTTAAAAAAAATCAGAATAAAAATAGCTCTAATGAGCCCTGCTATTGGCTGCTGGGGTAGAGAGTATGAATTCTGAAAACTTAAATTGTTTATTGAACATTCAAGTATAAGTGAAAAATTGGTATTTCTTTTAACCAGTAACAGATTAAATCTTGGGTATGTTTGAGGAAAAGCAACACTAATCTAATTTTTATTTCCACATTAGACTGCCAAGGTAGAGGAAACCACAGGTTATAGTTGATCTCAGATGAGCCAGAGATGTAGACACAGCCCAAACAGGAATATAAGTAGGGTGGTGGGAAGTGTTGTAATAGGTGCTAGTATGGTATTTAGCAAATAGTTAATTCTTATAAGGGAAACAGGAGGATGTCTCCAAGGAAATGAGAATTAAGTGGGTCTTGCAGGATGAATAGAAGTTCACCAAAGAGGCTAACAGCCTTCCAGGCCCAGAAAACGGTGTGACAAAACAGGTGTGTACTGTAGTGGAGGTCAGAGAATGGAAAGTAACTGGTTTGTGGAGGGCCTAAGGAAGGTGCCCGGAGAATGAACTTGGAGCCACTGCACTAGTACTACATTTGACTTTTACCAAACGTGGCAAGGTTTTTATATCCATTCCAGAGAATTGTCGAGAATGCTATTTGATTAGTAAAAGCAGAAAGAATAACAGCCAGTCAGTATAAAATAATTTTTACAACACTGAAAAGACAAAAAAAATGTACACTTGCTGAGACAGACCATTTTTTAAGAAAGTGGACAGTGTCCTATTTCAGTACAACTAGAAGGCGAGTGCTTCAGAGAAGAGTTAACTCTGCATCCCCACATCAGAAATGTGTCCACATAATGAGTAGCCTGATGGATGCAGCTAAATGATCTGCTGTGACTTGTCATATAAAGTGTTCAAATCCATTATGCTCTCAACCACTGCTGCCCCCTGAACCTTCAGAATTCACCACTGATTTGGTTAAAAGTCAGTGTTAAGAGAGAAGTTTATAGAAAGGCAAACACACACACACACACTTCTCTTTAAAAATCAGGACAGTGGTAAGAGACACTTGGGTGGGGGCACAGGCAGGAAGTACTCAAGTACTGTAAATAGACGAGTGATAGCATAAGACTCATGCTGTTCTTCTTACGCTTCCTCATAACACTTTCCTTATTTTTCCCTTTCCTTTGAGTACCAGATGGGAAGCCAGAAAACCAGGATCAGACCCATATCGTTTCCTAAACATCCTCCTCTTAGACAAGTCAGTTTACTTTTCTGGCCCTCAGTTTCCTCATCTCTCAAATGGAAGCATTTTCAAATAGAGCTGCTTCGTGCCTGGGCCACTCTCGAAGAAGAAGAGAGCCCCCTGCCAACCCTCCCCTTTCTAATAGCAGCTTTGCTTTTATTTGTGTTATAAATGAGGACTTTTATAAGATTTTTGATAAAAGGATTCGATCACTTTTTAAAAGTCTGAAAATCACTGAACTGGATGTTCCAAAAGGCATAATATCCAGCTCAGAAACCATTTCCACATGTGTGGAATGGGGATAGCAATAGTTCCATTGCGTAGGCATCTGCGGGCTGATCGAGATGCGCGTGTAGAAAGGAGCATGGAGCACAGGAAGCGTTCAATGTGTTAGTGTTAATCTCCCCAACCCCAGGTTGGTCCCTCACAAGTAAGACTGCATTTCATGACTCTTAAACTTTGAGAATAAAATGTTGACCTGAAAAAAAATGCCAAATCCACCTGTTTTATACTAAGAACACTGTAAAATGTCTTGGACATTTACTCTGTGAATTTACAGCATAACCATTTTATTTCTATTTTTTGTACGTTGCTTTTTCCTCCCCCAACTGGCAGTTTTCTTCTTCTACACCAGAGTTTTGAATTATTATGACCAGATGCAGTTCTGACATTGCACATACCTATGTGTTTCAGGCTTGCCAGCTCCTGGGAAAGTGACATCAGTGTCCACTCTCTGACCCTGCCCTCTGCAACCTGCCTGGAGCTGCTGTTGATATTATCAAGGAGCAACGCCACACTGCCTCCCTCCCTTCGCTCTATGAATTCCTTTCAGGTAAGGAATTGCTCCTTTACCAGGGTGTGATTTCTCCATTTTCCTTGTAATTGTTTTCTAAGGAGTCTGTTTTTCACAGGAGGTCATCCATGGAAACCCACATTTTCACATCATCATTATAATAAGCATAGTGCATGCACTGCCTTGTCTATCTTTTTTTAAATAAGTGAAAAAATGGAGGCTCAAAATTGACTAGGTCATTGTCTAGTAGTGGCAGAGTCCATATCTCTCTACCTCCAGGGTTTGTTCTCTTAATCTTTTCTGCCTTTGAGAGGAAAGGCAAGAACATTTGGCAGAGACTCTTGCGAATGCCACTTCCTTTTCCCCAGATTTGCCCTAGACCGAGGATTTTCAGCTTGCAAATTGCTAAGTGGGTGCTTATCAGTGATAGCGTCCTACCCACTCTCAGCACCTGTTCCCTCTCTCCCTGGTCCCACCCTCATCACTTTCCCGCTCTCCTGGATATTTATCCGTGCTCCTGGTAAAGGACAAGGCGGAACAGGACAAACAGGACAGCCCATGTGGACTGACCAGCAGGAAGACCCCCTCCCTGGGAGGCAGCTAATTATCACTGAGCTGGCAAATGAGAATTAAGATGTTAGTCACATAAGTTGTGACCCAATAGCTACTGAATGTAACGGAACATAGCGATGACTCTTGAAAATGGAAAAATATTCACAAGCCTCCTGAGGCCACGTGCATTGGTGAGAAATGAGCCGAAGCAGGTTGATTCTACTTCTGAAGCATTGCTGATGTATCCTAAGATAACTTCAGAATCAGTGTATATTGCTTGGTGCACCTCTGTTAAAACAAGACCTGGATTTGCCTGTGAATCATAGCACAGGAAATTGATTTTGAAAAAACAACTGCTGCAATCTAATTTTCATCCATATTCTTAATTTGTTATAATGATTATCTCTGTGATTTTCTTCCTGATACAAATTTCAGACTTTGGCCATGATGTACCTGTTTGTATTTATCATTCATTACTCGATTATCAACTTTAATCTAAGGCCTCAAGGCACCTTAGAGAACACCTTGTCATTTTGTAGAAGAGGAAACTGAGACCCAGAGAGATGGAGTGAGCTGGCCAGGGACTATGCAGCATGGTAGAGACAGAGCTGGACTCACCAGGCTTACACGCGGGTAACTGCATCCTCTAAATGCAGTACTCTCCAAAGTCTTGGGAGGTAGAGTGGGTGTCAGTGGTAGGTGGAGGCCAGTTGAATCTATCTTGGAATATCCACGACACCCCTTATTCTGTAGTAATTTATAGTTACTATTTGTATACTGCCCCAAATCAGAAATGATTTAAAATTCTGTCAGTCCTTCTTTCTTCTAAGTTTTGCTCTCTGAATTGAACATTGGATAACACAAAAGTTTGTATATGTCCACAGACATTTGTGGAGGGAGGTAAGAAACTTAACCCATAGTTATCTTTGGGGAGCGAGGCTGGAAGATAGTTATTTTTTATTTCTCTCCCTCATGTACCGTATGAAATTTTTATGTGATGGATGAGTGGGGAGCCAGGGAGGCGACTCTGACTTTAAGGATTGTACACAGAATATTGGAGAAGATGGAACCATCATCCATGTGTGATATATAAATTGAGAATAATTATATTACAAAGTAGCCTCAATGCAAGTCTTTAAGAGATGAAAGGTAAAACAGTAATCTAAACTGGGCGTGTGGGGGTTTTGAGGGGAGGCCCAGTCTGTGTTTCTTCTGCGTGAGACAGAGGCAGGTGAGGCAGTCTTGCTGCCTTCAAGCATCTCAGCTCTGGTTCATATAAGCACACGGCAGGAAAGCCTGGCCTGCTCCTGGTGGCATTAGTGTTCTCTCCTCTCACCTTCCGTCACAGGAGCCTTTGGAGTTAATTATAGAATGACCCTCTCTATTAGTGATTGCACTTCTCCGGTCTCAGTCTGTTTGCTGAATATTATTGTCAGGAGCACATACACTTTCCCAATTTCAAAGGTACAGAGAAACCTGTCACAAGTTCCTGAACAATGTCTGCTAAACTGATTTTCCCTGCTGCCAGCCCTGGAAAGATGCATTCTAATTCCGACTCTACGAGGAATCGACTTCCCTGTGCAGGCCTTCACTCCAAAATAAAGGCTTAGTGAAAGGGGGAGGATAGCTGTCAGGATTAGAAAGAGATGCCCCGCTTCTCCATCTCTGTAACACCCCCTTAATCATTTATTACAATAGCAAGGAACAGGGCTGCTAATTCTGCCTGTACTTGGAATTTACTTTTTCAGTTGGGAACTACTTTAATGCAGTTCTTTAAAGTGCGGTACTGGTGAGAGCCGTAAAATAATAGAATGACATTTGTTAAAGATACCATCTTTACATTTCCAGTTCTCTCGTATTCTGGGCCAAGCCCGTTACTGTGAGCAATGCCGCTGTCTCGTAAAAATGGGATTTTCAGTTTCTGAGGATTCCAGTGGCACTCCTGCTTGGGCCATTATTGCAGCCAAATCCCAAAAGGAGAGGTTTATCTTATTAATTAGAGCTATTACATACATGAAATTGTAACTTCTTAAACTACAGTATAACATTTCTCTCAGGCCAGTGGGGATATGTTTGGGTGGATTTGTTATAATTTTAACCTGCACTCTGCCCTCTGTTGCAGTGTGATTATAAGCAAACAGAATGTGGGATTTGTTTGAGAATCACTGATGTCTTTCTAGACACATATTATCGTGGTTGTTGCAGCCCCAGGACGAAGGATGGACTTATCATGTCACTCTCTGCTTAAAATTCTTCCACGACTTTTTATTGCAACGAGAATAAAATCCAAACATCTTAACCTGGCCAACAAAGCCCGGCAACGTCTGGCCCTGCCTCTCCTCTTGGCCTCATGTCCTGTTCTCTCCCTCAGGCTCTGTTCCAGCCACAGCGGCCTTATTTCCTGCCCCCTTTCACAAGAAGCTGGTTCTGGCTGCAGAGTCCGCGCACTGGATGTTGTCTTTGCTATCAGGAGGTGTTCTGGACTAGATTTTTGTGTATCTGAGTCCTTTCAGGTCTCAGCTCAGGTGTCCCCTCCCCTAAGAGGCCTAACCTGACCCTCCTCATCAAACTCCTCTCTCCCCATTAGCATATTCTGTAACCTCATCTTGTTTTCTTTTTTTTCATAGCACTTTTCACTATTTAAAATGGTCTTGTTCATTTATTTGTTCTTTTTTTCTCTAGTGAAATGTGAGGGAGAATGTTCAATATTGTGTCAACAGAACTTAGAACAGTGCTTGGACACAGGGAGCATTTAATAAATATGGGATGACTGGCTCTGCACGGGTGGGTGGGTGAACAAATAGAACGCAAATTGGCATGGCCATTTGTCATTCTAGAGATGTCCAAAAGACTGAGCTAGAGGGAAGCAGAGGCATGAGCAGCACACAGTCTGGGGCAGAAGCAGAGCAACTTGGCTGCTGAGACGGTGGACTCCACGGGTAAGGCTCAGCTTTGAGACATGTGGACGGCGTTGAGCCCGGATGGGTATCTGCATTGTAATGGCAGCCTGGAAAGACTGGAAGAAGAGTTTAGCCTTTAGAAAGAGCTGGCAGGAATCAAAATAAGCAGAGTGACTAGTGTCCAGGCCTGGGTTCCCTCTGGGCACTGGCAACCTCAGTAGGGGAAACAAGAATGATGCCCAAGCTTTGGTGCTAGAAACCAAGGTGGGGGATTGAAGGTCCTCTGGAACGGGGTGGGTTGCAGCCTGCTGCTGTTGTGACTTCCAGCTTGATTCCACTCTGAGTGCTTCAGGACTCTGGGGTCAGGTGGCAGAAGGCCATTTCCATATCCATTTTGCTGGGCAGCGACTAGCTTTTTAACCAGAAGTCGAGCAATAGCAACTTTAAATGTGAATGGTGTCTAGAAAGTACAACCTTCAGAGCAGCCGGGTTGGATCCAGGATTGGTCAGGGCTGCTGGTTTTAATTACTAGGCTTTTCCTTAGAATCCTAGACTATTGCAGCTGGGAAGACCAACTAGTCTAATGACCTTTTTATAGAGAAGGAAAGTCTCCGGAAGGGTTAAGTTGATATTGGAGACTGTAACTCTGATTCCTATGCTATGCTTTTTGTGCTACACAGGATGCTGACTTCTCTTCAGGTATAAAGGAGATTTTTTTTTTTCTTACTAGCATTTCCTTATTCCATGGGACACAGGTTCCTTAGGGTATAAATAGGTATTATAGAAAACAGTATTTAATCATTATGTACTAATAAAGCAAGTTATAAAGGCTAATGCTTATTCAATTCTTTCTGTTATCCAGTCACTATTCTCAGTGATTTTCACTTATTAGCTCATTTCATGAAAATATACCATGAGGGAGGTATATTAGTCCCATTTCACTGGTGCGGAAACTGAGCCAGAGAGATTACTTCGCCCATGCTCACACAACTAGTAAATGGAGGAGCATACGGTACAAAGTCTGACTCTAGAATCCCCTGTTCTTAACCACCAGGTTCTGTTGCCTTTTAAAATAAGTTTAGTTAAACTAAGTTAGATTTTTTTTTTTTAACCTGTAGGACTTTTCAGTGCCTTTCTCGTGTATAAGAAACATTGTGACCTTCCTAGTTAAAGAATATAGTAAAGATTATTTCCCAATTGTACTAGATACTAGGAGGACCTCTTTCTAGGAGCATTTACTGGAATTAATGCTCTGAGAACACAGATGGAGGAGACACTATTCTGTCTGAAACCGAAAGATTTGGATGATGAGACAGTTCTTGTACACGCGTGGTTCTTGGCAGTCTTGCTTATCTCCAGCAGAAGTGCTGCAAGTGTAACTGGTGATTGTCAAGAGGATATGTATATGTTTTAGTAGCTAGACAGTACTTCTGGTCAAGACCACCTTGGACAGATGGTTCAACAGGAACGAGATCTGCCTTTGCCATTTCTTAGTACACAATGAGTCACACGAGAGCCCAGCAGGCCTGTGGCTCAGCATTGCTTTCCCAGTCTGCACCTACTTCCAGTTCTATTTCTGTTGAGTCT